TATTAATTATATTGTATGTGAGATTTTAAGATAATTAATATGTATTTGATGAATAAAAAATAAATTTTATTTGTAAATATTATAAATTTATTAAATTTAATACAGATAAAAAAATTAACGTAATAGATTTATTATCATAGGCATCAGCAACAAGAGGCATGTTGTTGAAAATATGGCTTCAGCAACATGGCTTTGCTTGTTGAAAATGGATCGGGAATGTGGGAGGAATTCAACCATATCTTTACCAAGGTGGAGCATGTTGGTGAAAGTACACAATCAGCAACAAAGAATATGTTGCTGAAAAGTGCAAACCACTCTCTCCCCTTAACTTTTACCAACATAAGCCACGTTGCTGAAAATAGGGTTTTAGCAACGTGGCTTTGCTTGCTGAAAATGGACCTGAAGTGTAGGGAGGAATCCATCCATTTTTTTTACCAACGTGGAGCATGTTGGTGATAGTATTCAATCAGTAACAAGGAACATGTTGCTGAAAAGTATAAACCACTCAACCCTTGAAATTTTACCAACATAAGCCACGTTGCTGAAGATAGGGTTTCAGTAACATGGCTTTTCTTGCTGAAAATTTGATAAAATTCTGGTGACAAATTCCGGCAACATTTCTCCAAAATTTTAGCAACATGGGCCACGTTGCTGAAACTCTATCTTTAGCAACGTGGCCTATGTTGCTGAATGGGATGAGAAATTTCACCCCCATTGGTCACTGGATTCCGGTATAAGTTTTCAGCAACATAAGCTATGTTGCTGATACTTTTTTTTCAGCAACATAGCTTGTGTTGTTGATATTTTAGCAACATAATTTTGGTTGGTAATGTATTACCCACCAAACCTTTTCCAACAAAACTTTTAGCAATCAAACCCATGTTGCTGAAGGACTTTTACCAACATGGAAAGCACTTTCAGCAACATGCTTCCATGTTGTTGAAGGTGAGGATTTTAGTAGTGGCAGTTATATTTTCCATAGTACTAAAATTAGTGAATCAATTGATTTGCTAATTGTATTCACTGACCATCTTGTAGTTCTACATGTTTTTCTTTTGATAGTGATGGATATACATTTGACATAACACATTTATTAAAAAATTATTATTTTTTGATTTAAAATTAAAAATAGACAAACTTAAAGTTGCAGTTATGCAAATAAATATAAGAATTGACTGAATCAATTATATTAATATTATATTTTGATAACTAAATTGAAACAAGTGTTACAAACTATGTAAAACCGAGTATGTATCGATTTTCCTCTTTTTACATATGTGACAACATGGAAAGCCATGTAATTAATGTTGTTAGTTTGGAAGTATTGTCTTCTCCAAATATAATTAATGAATATTTTGGCTCAAATTGCATTGTTTTTTTTTTTTTTTTTTTTTTTAGAATTTTGTA